GCAGTGGTGTAATTATTACAATTCTTGGAGAAGCAGTAGTGTATCTGGGGTCGTAGTTTACATTTTTTGTTTCTCTTCTGTCAGTCCTCAACAACAAAGAGGTATTGCAGTAGAGCATTTCTCTGGGTTACCTTGCCATCTATGTCAAACAAGAACATTCATGAGAGAAGTCCTCAGCAAACTTCTGGTCTCATCTCAGGCAGGTTATGTGGTATCTGAAATACACGGAGCACTGGACTGCACTGGGTGTGGTTGATCTGGATTCTCTGTTTGTGCAGAACAATGTGACTTCAGCAATGCTCCTGTCGGTTTTGCCATAGATAATTAAATGCATTCAGCTAATGTCTTTCTCTAGAACACATCTAGGAATGGCCTGCAAACCAAATGGAAGTTATTTACCTCCTACAGGTAAGTTTTTTAAAGGTGGCCTATGCAAAGGGCCTCTTTGTTTTGCACACTTAATTCAGCTATCAAAATCAAACATGCCCCGAGTTCCTCCAGACAAAACCCCCTCCCCAAATTGCCTCATACTGTGATACAAAGTCACAAAGTCCAATTTCCTAGCTAGCCAACTGTGCCGCTTAATTAGGGTGCCTTTCCGAATCACCTTCAATAGCATCATTGTAACATATGGGTTGAAATTTAGGCATACGGTCCAAACACAGAAACAAAGCACACCACTAATTGTCTAAACACACAGAAAAACACAACACACAGTGCAGTCAGATGAGCAAAGAACAGGAAAGCATGTCCTGTTTTGTAGGAACACCATGCAATCACTCAATTTTGTAAGCACGCCATAAAATTTTTTATAATTTGTACATTTGTAATGAACTGCAGTGTTGTATTGCTGGGAGAGCAATGTTCAGCATTTAAAATTCACTTGCACTGCTCACTAACCTATTTCACTTGGGCTACCCTGGGAAATGCAGTGCTGTCTTTGAGCTGAGCTCTAGACCACAACGTGCCAAAAGTCTGAGAGGTCCGCGTGCCAAAGGCCAGTGCTGAGTCTCCATGGTGCTGTTCACGGCCAAGCCAAGTAGATCAAAGCAAACCTGGGCGACAAGCGTACTCACAGAAACACCTATGGAGGTGTGCGATAATTGACAGTTTATGCCCTGTTAGTCTCCCTGAGTCTCCCATCGATTTTTCTCTGGGATAGCCTTTTCCAAAGGGTGCAGTTTCTCTAGGAGAGTCCTTCTGCTCACAGTTTCAGCTGAACGCTGCCAGGTTGCAAATAATCGGTTTCTTTTCCTGTGCTCACAGCAAACCAAATCCTGCAGCACTCCGCACAACACAGTCTGCACTTATTTGTAAACATACCTTGAAAGTGGGTGGTTATATTCAATAAGAAAAACCCTTCAAGCAGAACATTTACTTTCCTTCTTTATGCATAATGCAAACATTTATTTTCTTCCAGTATGGAAGACCAAGAGACTGCACGCTCTGATTTCACTTTGATATGATAACCTAGCTAACGGTAAGTAATGGCAATGGAGAAGAAGCTGTTGCTTTATTTAAATTAACGAGAGTTTGTAGAAAGAACGTAGTGCTGTATGAACCACTACAGTATACAGATGAAAAAATACATTAATCCAAGTAAGTAGCAGTCCAGTTTCAGGCATGATTTGTGTGCAATGCAAAGTCAGCTCTGAGATTAAGAAAATATGTCTTATTCATTTATACGGGTTGTGGTTATCAAAGGCACCTGAGGGTGTTTCAGTGAGACCTGGGTGCCAGCGAATGCCTCTGAAAATCTTTATTAATTTGAGGTGTTAGTCAAAGTCAAGGGGCTATTCCTTGATACATATTTGTATAGCTCCTTGGCAAAGAACAAACGTGTTACTAACATAGCCTATTTTTTACTATGAGAACACAAACTGGTCTTCCTAAAACAGGAAGAGTTAATCAGAGTTTTAACGTCTAAGAGTTAATTTTAATCTCAGAGTTGTTCATTAGACTCCTCCACTTTAAACTCATACTGGGAATGGATACGGAGGGTTTGCCATGCATCATGCTGGCAGATCCTGAGTAAAAATCTGGGATTGCAATTGAGACATTTCTTTTGCAAATCCATAGGTATTCCTTAAAGGTTTTTCCTTTAAGGTGTCTTCAGCTGCACTAAGCTGAAGACTATAAAAATAAAAGTTTAGCCTTTCAAGGAAGATTTAAAATTGTTTATCTGCAAGGCTGCCAACCATCCCGCATTCAGAGTGCTGTGGGAACAACTGAGATGGGGGACAACAATATCAAATCCCCTTTTACCAGGAAAATAGACCACTTCTTAACAAACAGACCGCTCCTGCATTTACTGAAAGCTGCAGCACATTAATGCAGCTCCAGTCCAGCCATGCCGTTGGCAAGACAAACGCTGCTTTGGCCGAAGTATCACAGAGATTTCCAAAGAGAGGCACTGAATGGGAAGTTCAGTTTAGCCTCTGTCTCCGGGGCCAGGCAAGGAGAAGGATTTTTGCAGTTGGCCTTGAGGAACAGGCAAGGGAAACTCCAGGAGGAATTGAGACTCAGGGACTAGGTATTGCCTCTTATCCACGCAGGAAAGAAGCTTCCACTCAGTTTTATGGGAACAAAACCATTTTAAGGCCACAAAAATCTCTTTTCTCTTATTGCCTTGGGGATGGAGAAACCAATATTCTTCTATCTTTTTGCTTAGATGTTTTCCAGATAAACACCCTGTCTTTCTCCCTCTCGAAATCACATTGGTGAGCTTCATTTGGCTAAGCCTGAGTTTATGGTATACAACAGGGCTCAGGGGGAGGCAGAGTGGAGGAAATCCCTCCAGGAAAAAAAAGCAGGAGGACTTCATCCTTTACTTCCTTGAATCCAGCAGCTGTACGGTGACCGAGTTCTGCAGCAGGCCACCTCAAGGATACTGAAAAGAATTTGTTTCCTGGAAAACGCCTACACCAGCAGTACAGAACTTGAAATTAAGTTACCCTGGATGTATTTCACCAGGCCAGTTAATTGCTGTCAGTTACTTATCATTGAATTCCAATTTCTTTTCAAAAGTAAATAATGTGGTGTGCACATGAAAACATATTTGTTTCCTGCTATGGCACATGCTGAGAAAGTTTTTCCTGCCTCAGTTCCTCAACCACAGGAATTCTGCAGTTGTCAACAGACGTACATTTTAACCTCACATTTCACTCACTTCATTACCCTTCCCCTGCCTTTTCAATCAACATAAGCCAGGAAAGCCTTGTTGCATATGACTAGCATTTTAAATGAAACTGAATGTTTCACATGATTCATAACTGTGAGTAACATTTCAGTTCAATTAATGATAGGCCCGCTCCTACTGACTTGTTTCCACAACCTAATTGAATTTTTAACCCTGTAATGCTGATCCTGTGGATTTTGATGAAGGGTATTTTTGGACTGATTTTGTATTCTTGGTAGTTGACTTGTTCGGAGCAGAGATTTAATCTATAGATCCAAACTGGGATTACTGAGAAGGGCCACCTTCCCACCCCCCGTATGCAACGCTGCTCATCTTCACTCTATCTCATTTCTTTTCTACATCAGTAAAGCCTGAATTTTAATATTTTTTTGCTATATTTAGGCCGGATGACCTTCCCAGTCAGAATCAGGGATTAAGAGTGCATTTCATAAAGCATTATACAAAAATATAACAAAAATTTTGCTATGGCTCAGACTCTGTTAGCCCACTTGAGTATAAGAGTAAAACCAGTACCAGAATCTGAACAGAAGAAAATACAATTGATGCTAGAAAACATTTTTGAATTTTCTTGATCTTTCTTTCTTGTAAGAGAGTTTCTGCACATGGAAGCGTTGGGATAGTGAACGGCTCCTTTGTGAATTCCAGTATTTTGCAGCAAACAAGATTACTTACAAGCAATAAGAATAACCCCAGCTGTTGTTTGCTGCTAGAGACCTTTTAGGTGGAATAAGGACACAGTCATTTAATAATTAAGAGGAAGGAAGACCACATAACCTAAAGTGACTGGTTAATAATCAATTCCTACCATGACAATGTTTGACTTAGCTACACAGTGTGTGAGTAAAAATGAAAAATGTGTAAAGAAATTGCTTCATAAATGGAAAAATTGAAAGTGCATTCAAAAATGAATAATGTAGCCAGCATGACATAAAATCCCACTGCTTTAAAATAACACCTACTTTAATTGTATCAACTTTTAAAATTAATTAAAAATAGGAGAATAACTGTTTTTCCTTTCATGTTAGTACTTTCTCCGTGTATTTGAAACCATTTTTTATCTGATTTGCTTCCACAGCTTCACCTTAAAAGGTCTTCTTGTTTTATCAAGCTACCATTTAATGCCTTTTTTTTTTTTTAAATATCCTCAGTGGACCTAATAACATGCAGTAGCTGATCTTTCTTCAGAAACTGTAAAAGAAGCAAGTACTGTATAGTCATAACCTAAAGGTAACGGATATTCCTTTTGCATTTTAATTTAGCAATAATTAGCTGCTATTCTTCACATATGTATTTAGAACCCAAGGAACAGCTTTGGCCTTTTGAGCAGATTTTGTCACAGAGTTTCAAGAAAGAAAACAGCTCCCTAAACCTCAGAAAAAGATGACACAGGAACCAAATAAATGCTGCAGCAAATAAAATGGCGTTTTTTAAATTTCAGTGGTACAGAGAATGTCAGCACACTAAAACGTCTCCAGGATGTTTAAGAGCCCAGAGAGCCCATTGATAGCTGTGTATTTGAAAAGACAATAAGGTCCATCCCACAGAAGCCAAATATAAAAATACAAAAATGTTTTGCATCAGTGGAAACAAATCATCCTTTGAGAGAGGAAGGCAGCACGTCTTACTGTTCTGAACGGCTGCCCACTTATACCGACTGAATTGATGGCTGCACTATGGCACACACTCTGCTGCATTTCCAAAGGACAGCGGCCTGAGGTCATTGGCCTACCAATTCCCAGAAGATCTCAGGTTTCTCAGCAGCATTTCCAGCTGTGAAACCCTTTTTTTCCCTTAAACTTACCTGCAGGAGGATTAGCACTGGTTCTTTCCTGCCGATACCGATGGAATTGGCTGCAGGGAGGAGCGATGCTGAAAAGAGAATTCAGACTCCCGCATCCCTGGGTGTCCTGTACTGCCACTTCACTGGGCTCTGAGCTTCAAGGAGGCAGGATGGAGAGTAAATGCTTCCCAGAACTGGAAGAGTTACCAAAGCAACAGTAAGGAGCCTACACTGCCATTGCGGATCCCCTGTTCGACCTAGCCTTTGAAGAAAGGATGGAGGTACTGAACAGAGACTCTAGAAATCTTGTTTCAGTTCTCAGCGCCAGCAAGGGCTCTGTGATTCACAGGAAAAATCTCAGTCTCTCTCAATTCACTTCCCCACACATAAAATACAGAAAGCTTTTTGGAGTATGAATGAATGAACTCCCATGATCTCTCTCTTTTTTTTTTTTTTTTTCAAGAGAGCCTGCCCCTTGGTTCAGCCCCCGATATCACAGTAATACAAAATTGTGTGGATTAGCCCTTTTCTGAGAGAGCTTACTCCAGTGAGGTGCAGATTCTGGGGTGTGTGTGTGTGTGTGTGTGTGTGTGTATTTCTTTGTCTTTAAGACATTTTGAACATTTTACTTTCCTTCAGAGGATGTTTTTTCTCTGAGATGTAGTTGTTTGCTTAATGGACAAGCGCGTTTCATCTCCTCTTATTTAGTTCCCCAGAAAAGCTCTCAATAAGAGTCATGATATAAATATGACTTGTAAATGAAACTTAGGGCTAGATCAATACCACTCTCCTTGCTGCAGGGTAGCATAATAACTAAGACATTTTCTCATAAAAGATGTTTTCTCATAATTGTTATGAGGACAGGGGATTGTTTCATTTATGTAAGTGGAATGTGTTGTTAAGTCATCTGATGATATGAGTCGACTCCAAGGTTTCTATACTTGTGGCAAAATGTCAATATGCCTAAAGTGTCTTACAGTCAGCACTTTCAGAAGGCAGATTACTTACAAAATAGCCTCCACATTATAATCTGGTGACACACAAAGCTGCTGCTGCCTAACTTTTAGCACTAGCCTTTCTAAATCCAAAGTTAAATGGATTCTCTCCCAAGAGCTGAATCGCCACCTAATCTGTAGTGCTTCCAAGATACTTGCTGTTGCTGAGGAAATGGCTCTCATACATATTTCTAGTGAATAATTTTCCAAGGACCTATATTCAGTGCATGATAATACAGTACATTGCCACATTGTAGCTTCTGGATATTCTAACAGATTTGTAGCCTTATTCAGCTGAGACCCAGATGCTCACAGACTTGCACAGAGTAGTAATTTGCTATACAAACAGTTCCCCTGAAATCAATCGGAGACCTTGTGCAGGTGCTGCTTAGTATGAGAAAGTATATTCAGAACTCATTAGCTTGCACCAATGACTTCAGCAGCACAGTTACTTCTTGATTTCTGTTACAGTAAAACTCAAGGCCTTTTCTACTGGGCAACATGTTGTTTCTTTGTGAAATAGAAATATGTGAAAATTACATTTGGGCATGGTGACGTTCCAATACACTTCAGGCTTACCTATCCCAGGTTCATGAACGCCTGCCTGTTCAAAGGGAACCGCTCACGATTATTTAATTTCCAATTATTCATACTTGTGGGGAACGCCTTAGTGTATATGACACTATTCCCGCTCCTTTGCAGTGAACTGTTGGCCGAATTTTGTCTTGGATCATTTCCAATAGGTAAGCCAAAATAGAGGGGAAAATAGATAATAGATTCCTTAGTGTAACTGTGTTCATTTTTTTAGACTGTGCTCACCATTTCCAGCTTCCCTGAGCATACTAGAAACCAGCAGCAGACAGGGCCCTTGCTCAGAAATTCTCCTGTTCGCACTCTCATATGCCCGGCTTATCTTTGATCTTCCGTAATTGCTTTTTTTCCTTCTGAAACTTCTATGGTTTTCTAGGTGTGAGGTACACTGCTGCTGCTGAACAAGATCTGAATGGACATCTCTCTAAGACATGACTGCAACTTGTCACTGGCTTTCATTTGCAGTGGACTACAAAACGGGGGACAGTGGCAAGTATTTATCCAGAAAGGTGGAGTGAAGATCACTCGCTCTTCGCTCTGTTGTTTCCCTTACACTCAGCATAGGAAGTGCTAACGCGAGTTGCTTTTCTTTACCGTCGTTATTGCATTATGCACCAAAGCCGACACATTAAAGCATTATCACAAGGACGATTCTTGCCATATCTGCACCATCCACTCATATTGAAGAGCCCTTTCAACACATATCTGCAAACAATCCCAAACAGGACCTTTCCTTGACCTGTTACAAGCAAGTGCACATCTTGCCTGTCGCATACTGGGACTTGCAATTGCCTGGGGTGAGATGCTTCAGAGTCACCTTGGCCCCTCAAGAAGGCCAGGACCCAGTCGTTCTGCTCTGATAAGCAAGGCCGCAGACCTTGTCTAGTAGTCAGGCTATTTGTAGATGCAATGCATGGACTCAAACGCATGTGTATGCTCAGCTCTCACCAAGATAAAATAGTCTGTGATGAATTCCACAATACGAGCAGTAAAGAGAAGCTGTGTGAATAGCTTTCAGAGGACCAGATCAAATAATTCTAGGGAGCACTTGAAACAGCCTGCCAGGAAAACGCAGTCATGCATGAGATTCATCAGGTGTTGTTCACTGGTCTTTCTGTTGCTCACTGTCACAAACTACTCTCTGCCACTAGCTGCTCTGCCTATTTCCAGCAGGCAAAAGATGTCAAAGCAGGTGAGGTGCCAAAAATCAACCCCCATGCCCTTTATTCAATGTGCCACATACAGCTAGGTAATGAACCGCTAACAATCAATAAGAGTCGCTCTTACCTCTTGTTTGATTTGATGTAATAGAATTATAGTAGATCAAATAGGTGTAAATAGTGCTTCACTGTAAGCCAGTGGTACCAAGAACTCAAAAGAGTACACGACTGAAGAAACCAGCTCTCATCACGTACACATCCAAACCCACATAAGGATTAAACCAGATTTAAAACTTCTTGTATACTTTACCCTTATTTGTCAGGTACGACTCACAAGCGTTTGAACTCTTCTATTTTTTGTGACTCAGTTCCTTTGCCATAGCCTCAGGGTCTGTCTTTATGGATATAATTACTGCCCTATCTTTCATTCAGGAAAAATGGGACAGCTAGGTAAGTTTGTTTGCAGCTCTAGGAAGTGGAAACAGTAGTAGCTCTCATCCCCCAAGCACGTGTTACAGCCTAACAGTCACAAACACAAATGAAGGGGTTTCATTACCTACTGCATAGCAAGTGATACTGTGATTTTTCTGCCAAAATACATGTGAGACAGAGCCACAGGAAGACATACTTAAAGGAAGATATAAAGAAGCAGGAAAGCTTAGGACACAGCCTGAACAAGTAGTGGTATTGTGGTCTTGCTAAAAGGCTAATCAGGGCGTTGTTTCGGCTGAGTGCTGGCTCAGAAAGGCTTGCTGTTGAGCATAAAGACACTTTAATCACGTAACTCGATTTCTGCTTTAGGAGTTAGGTTTCTATATGTTATTTGCAGGTAAACAGAACTCCATCAAAACACCGGATTCCATCATCATTTTTTCTTCTTACTGAAACAACCAAATTTTGTCTAACCTTTGAGTCAAAAAGAAGTAATGCTATTGAATACCTCACTATATCAATTTCCTGTTTTGTTTGATGGGCTGACTATGATTTACAGGATTTCTATATGAGACTCAATTAAATATAGAATTTATAATATTCATGCAGCTTCTATGCCAAATATACATAGTGCTGATGCAGCAGGGATCTCAAAATATCAACCACCTGCTTGGAAGGAACAGAATTATGAATACATCTCCTTAAACAATAATTCATCATACTCAGAAGCCTAAAGTTAAGCTGTCTACTGCTCTAGAGCCAACACAGCTGCTTTATCATCTTATCTGGGGGATACTGCTGACTTAAAATGCTCGGTATCATTCTTGCAACTCATGACTAAGAGTAAATTCAAGGATTTTTCGAAGCCTAGGAAGCAGTATTGAGTTTGACATGTAGGCTCCTGGTCTTCAGAGAGGAATCCAGAGTTGTGAATGACATGTCCCCCACTTCCAATATAATGCACAGGAAACCTAAAGCAGTCAGATCAGGGAGCCACCTAAAGATAATACAGTGTCTGTTGGAAACAGAAAAACTTTGTACACCTCACTGAGGACTGCAGGGAATTATCTCCTCCTCTCAGGATGCTCATCCTCAAATCCCTCCAAAAAATTGCTACGGGAGAGAGCTGTCTAGTAACTGAGCCCAAGTAAGGTATCGGCTGACAAGAGCCAAGAACACACCTTCTCCCTAGGAAGAATGCAGTACGCAGAACAGTGAAATTAATTTCAGTCCTCATGACTTCACCATGAGAGGACTTTGACCTAACAAAATTCAGGTTTGCAATTCTTTTTTTCCAGACGGGCCAGCGTTGCAGAAGTGAGACAGACTGAAAGCACTCACAGCTGAGCTTGGAGGACCTGCATATACTCTAAGCACTTAAGTGTGTAGCAATAATGAAGTCTCAGGATCAGAGTGGGGTTCTGGGTGATAAAAAATAGAAGCACATGATGACAGTGGCTTTAAGTCCATTTTCCCTGCATGGAGGCAGAACCCTGCTGTGCCCATTCCAGACAGGTGTTAGTCTAATTGGTGCTTTGTATCTTACATTTTACAGCTTCCCTTAGCTGCCAAGTGCACTGATTAAGTATCCTTCATTAGGAAGCTTTTCCAAATCTTTAATTTAAACCTTTGCTGCATGTGGAGCCAGGCACTCTTATCCTCCCTTTGGTGACCAGGACAATATTTCAGAAGCACCTTCTTTGCAGACGTCTTGGGTATTACAAGGCTACTATCACTGCTCTTTATTTCAAATTCACCACTTTTAGTTTTTATTTATGAAAACAAAATATTACTTAACCTTTTTACAATGCCCATTGCTCTTCTGGACCCGAGGATGCTTCAGCCTTTTCTGTCCCTTTCTTACTAATTGTATTTCAGGATGCCTCTTCCACGCAGTGGGTATCATAAGCTCACTTAGTCAAAAAATGGGATGTTGTGATGCTCAGTCAATGTTGCTAAATTGTTGAGAGAGACTGGGATAATAACTTCACAAGGAATTCAAAGCAGTCATAGCACAAGCAAGTCTAACACTGCAAATACAGTCTATTAAGAAATGCCAATTGTACCAGTAGTATCTATCCTTTAATGTAGCTACCTATAGCAGATGAACTGCTTGCTTTACCTTTAGCAGGTTTGTCTTATTGCTCTGTCTTCAAGTTGGGAGCACGTTTGTGACTGAGAGCTTTTTCAGTCACATGACGGATTTGTGGGTCCAGCTCTGAAGGACACAGAAATCCCTGAGGAGATGCTTCCTAGCCACACTTTAAAAACCACTCTGGACCAGATAGGTCAGGTTTGCTTATATTATAGAAAATCTGTGCCTTTAAGAAGGCAGAGACCACTCTCTTATTCTCAGCACACACTTGTTAGGGTTTTAACCAAAAGAGTTTCTTTCCATCTAGACTGCTATTGCCTTAAGCGTAAAAATAGAGTGAGGGCTGCGTTCAGAAATAAAATGCACAATGGACTCAGGAAGGGGCAAGAACACAGCAAGAGAACTTCAGACTTCTTTGCAATTACAAACCAATTTGCTTATCTCATCCAGAAACCCCTTACAATCAGCATTTTCATCTCACTACAGTCTCTTCTTACCTTTTGCTTCCAAAATAGTGCTGGAGGCTGAGTTCTAGGATCACTCTCCTTGACACGAGCTGTCTGCCTTCCCCGTTTCACTGAAGCTCCATTTCAGTGATGCAGAAAATTAATTAGGACATTTTATTTTCTTCGCATGTAGAGCTAAATACTGTTTCTCAGCCTGAAAAAAAAGGTAACTCTGTGAATGAATAAACACAGAATTAGACTCCTTTTTCATGTTTTTCTGAAGCTGATAGCAAAAACGATCATGAAGAATCTAGATACCTAATTTGCTTTGTTTTAACCATACTGGAAGAAGTTCTGTGTACCAATTAGAGAGATTACATTGCTCAGAGTGATGCAGAGAACCAAATAATCAGGCAAATACACTAACCAGCTGTCACTTAATCAGACAAGAGGAAGCAGTATTCCACAGTGACTGGAAGACAGTCTGTGGCGTGCACATTGGATCATGCACGTATTTATTCCCTTTATTCCCATAATCACTTCTTCTGTGGCCTTTTCTCCAGCCTTTACTCATGAGTATTCCTAGCGTGCATGAATACTGCCGCTGCACTCGGTGGGAAGAGCTCCTGCCTGTGTAACACGGACGTTTACCTGGGCCAGTGGCCACGTGCCTCGAGCAGGCTGCGGCTGTGTATTATCGACCTACGGCTTATCGACCTTGGCTCAGAGGCATCACAGATCACCTGATCTGTTCTGCTGATGCACCAGAGTGAAATATTAAAATGTCAGTAGGGAAAACGTGGATTCATGTTTTCAGCTTCACTCATTACAAATCTCTACAGGGCATGTCATGGGAAAGCTGACACGCCACTAAAGAGAGAGAGAAATAAGGCCAAAAAAGAGATTAATAATAATAGAGCAGACTACGTATCACCTCTGCTCAGATATCGTTGTTCAACACCACTTTGGCAATATTATCCATGTTCAGAAGGTTTTTAGAGGCCATATATTTCACCAGATGAAAACCTTTGTGTTGCTAATACTCCACTACTGAAAAATAGTTGTTTCCACCTATATCTAATAAATATATGTTAGAAGCTCAACTTGATCTAATGTGAGTTCATGCTCAACTGTGCATGTGATGTTTGGATGTAAACATCCTTTTCATTTCATACAATACCACCCCAGTGCTATTGAGTTTTTTCTCATCCTTAGTTATGTCTCAACATGATATTTTTCATCTCAGTGGCTGACTTTATAGCCAAAATGCCTGCACTAAAAGCCACTGTCTTTAAATTGGACTAAAGATGTCAAAGTGTATCTATGCATAGTCCAGTTAAATTACTTTGACTGAGCTAACTTGATAGGAAATGGCACCTTTTTTCCTAAATAGGATAATGCTGGCAAGGTTCACGCAAACAAACAAGAGCCAGCCCCAAACCCTGCTCGCCTAGAAATCCACCGAAGGCTCTTGGCCAGGAAGCGTTTCTGCTGTGAATCGGAGTACAAAAGTTTTGCATTGCAGCCAGATCAAGGTGCGGCACAAAAGAGAAGTTCAATCCTGTTCTGAAGCCCCTTTCGGTTCGGCTCAAAATGCATGCTGACTTTTCCCAAGTCATTTTTTTAACCCATACTTTTTCCTTGCCTCCTTCAAGACAAGGAAACAAATCTTAGCCTCTTTGAATCGTCACAGCTGCAATGACTGCAATATTGTCTAGAGAGGACTCTGTCCAGAGACTGCTTAATCTACAAAAGGATCATTGTAGCGTGGGTATTGTCCTCAACCATAAAGTGCTTTCAAATAATCACAGGCTGTTGTAGGGGGAGGGACAGATAGTTGTATTATGTCTTTATAATTTCTTTATTTAATAGCTCAAAAAAAAAAAAAACTTTGCATAAAGCCTCATACCATCCTATGGGAACGGAGGATTAAATAAAGTAGCATTTTTAACACTCGAAAAGTGTTGTTTTGTTTAGTGACAAAAGCCTTCTGGTCAACAGGAAGATTCCCCTCCTTGGGCTTCCAAGTGCCTTTGCTTGCACAACCCATTTCCCACTGCCCCGATGGTCTCCCAAGCCAGTTCCTGCCGCCTGCGCTCGCAACTCTCCACCGTCCCCTGCCCAAACGTGGGCCTCCTCCCTGTTTTGTGCAAAGGCAGATTAAGCAGAGCAGTAAGAGTTGCAAGAAAATGCATTTCTGTGCAGTAAACACAGCCTGGAGACACCAGTTCCTCTCAGCATTTGATGGCAATTATTTCTGTGTAATAGGCAGTCACCCGGTGACCCTCTCCTTCAGCATGCACCGCTTCTACTGTCAAGTGTTAATCCCTCTGTTACCTACTCAGCTGCACGCTCATTTAGGAGGGCTAATGACTTACACTGTTGCTTCTCTGCGTGATTTTGACGGATATGTAATTAGAGGTGAATGGAGTCTTCAGAGGTACAGCAACCATGAAAGCCAGGGGCAAAGTCAAAAGTATTTGTCTAATTTCACAATCTGCTATTTCACTGAATGAAACCATGTGGTCAGCTGTGCATGGCAGAGAAGAAAGTACAAAAGGAGAAGCCAAAAAAAACAGGATAAAAAAAATGGTTGCCTGGGATTCACAAAGCTCAGAGATGAAAAGGAACGTGTTTCAAAATATTTTTTGTCGGGGTGGTGCCAGAGAGCACATTGAAAGATAAATACCAGGGAGGAACCTGTTCTTCTCACACGGATCGAAAAAGTATCTAAAGGTGAAAAGCTTTGTTTTAAAGTGCTGAAGATCCTTAATCAGTAGCGGAATAAGCGTGGGAACTGGAAAGCAACAAAGGTGAATTGAAGAACTTTCCATGTGCCACAGCACTGGCTTGAAGATTTGGGCTTTATTTATGTAAGCTGGCAATGTCTGCAGCACCTCAGGAAATATCCTGCAGCTCTGACACCGTGTGAATATGTCCTTTTGAAGTCCAAGTAGCTTTTCTTGTTTGTGCCGCAAAATATCACAGGATCAGCTAGTAAAGTTTAATAAGGAGCCATAGTCCTGACAGATCTGAGATGGAAAAAAAGAAAAAGGGAAGAAAATTCCAGTGTCCTTATTTAGATTATGGTCAGCCCGTGGATATGTTCCTTAGGCTTGTGTCCAAATGGGCCCTACCATTCAGCTCTGATTCTTTTTTTCATATCGACAGCCAGGATATTTTCTCTTGTCCAGTTTGGAAAACGGAGTGTAGGTGATGGTCCTCTTTCTGTAGCAAAGGTGTCTTACTGTATTATACTGTGTTTGCACTAAATAATACCCACTCCCTTTCTCTCAGTTACACAGGAGTGCTATATTTACAAATTAAAATAATATACCTTCACCAGTGCTTTGAATGCAGGAGCATAATTTCATTAAAAATTGACAAAACTCAAAATAAAGTAATAATTAGTAATTATTTTAATTCAGCCTGGGCTTATGATCTAATATAGATCACAAAGTTATCTAATAAGAATAGAAATATAATTCCATGCTTAATGAAATAAAAATGAAGCAATTGACTGGCATGCTCTAAAGACTCCTCCTATCAGTTGCTCTCCCAGCTTTCCCCACTTGCCTGCATGCTTCAGTCTTCTGCAGCAAGTGTGAGAATAAAAATAATTGCTAGGATTGATCAAAATATTTATTTATCAGTTCCTCCAGCAAGGAAGTGGCAGGGTACCGCTCTGTGCCAGGTATCTTGCCTTCATTGCCTTGCAGGTCTGAATTAACTCAGCTGCAACTCCTACTCTGAATCACCTCACACCTTTAATGATACTGGAATTTGAGGCCAGAAAAGTCCCACTAGTATCATCGAATGTGCATTTCGGTAGACTATAAACTGTGGAGCTCCCCCTGCCAATTCCTGCACCAGGCTCCTAGCTTCTAGTTGAAATGAAGCTTGTGTTTTGTTGTATCTTGATTTAAAGTCCGCAAGCAACAGAGAGCTCATCATGTGCCTAAGGACGAAGTTCCAACAGGGATTTGCCGCCATGATCCCAAATGGGAATCTTATTACTAATACGAGGCCATTTTATTTTCCTATTCTCCCCCCCCACACACACCCCCCCCACCTCCCACGTTGGTAGCAGTGCTTACAGCCCTGCAGAACAGCTCGCCAGCGACGCAGACTGGCCTGAACAGCTACCGTTGAGCTGACACAGTCTGGACTTCCCACCCGACACTAGTAGAGGTGCTGCTGTTCCACCTCGACCCTCCTGCTGGCCGCCTGGCTCCGAATTTAAGTTGTCTTGCGTCAGCACAACATAGCCTACCCTACGCCAGTGCAACAGCCAAATCCCATTTTACCTGCAAGGAGAGTGCACACATAGGAATGTCTCTTGTTTTCAGTCCAGCCTAGTCCCCAGGGCACTAGCAGAGACAGAAGACTACCTGTTGGCAACCTTGGCTAAGATGACTATGGGCCATTGATGAGGATATTTGATTTTGGGCTCTGTTGGTAATCAAACACAGTGACTGCACACTTTTGGCTACTTCTGAATTCAGCAGCTTGATCACTGATACTGCTGTTCACCTTTTGAAATATAAGGGTAGCTTCTCTCACATTTTGACTAACTGGCGAGCAATGCACAGTAGCTGTTATCATGAAAAATCCTGTGCGCAATCGCATGGCCTGCAGCTACAAATAATTAAGCCTTGGTGAAATACTGAAATACTAGCTCACTTCATTCTCATGTACATACTAGCCAAGAACCTCAGTAGTGCTCATCTTCACTTTGCTCCTATTGTGGGGGAGGGAGATGATAAATCGATGCCTTTTGATTTGCGCTCTAATGATCCCGACTTTCCCAGGGAAAAAAAAAAATCCACTAAACTGAGTAACGTTTGCTGCAGCTCGGGTCTCTGCAGTAAATATGTATTTTCTTTTGCTGAGGTTTGGATATAATTGACTTGGAAACTTAGCCCAGGCTCGCGGAAAGGTTCACATAACCCAAACCAGGCAGTTTTTGCCTGGTTCAGGTTTAATTATGAATGGTTCACTCAGTCTCAGTAATGACTCATATTCACTAGCTATCCTATATATGAGATGTGACACAAGTGTACTTCAGATACACTAAGCATAATTATTTAATGATGAGGCAAAGTTGATTAGGAAGCCTTTAAGCTATTACACCCTTACAGGGCATTTTGCAGTCACTGAATAAATGAACATAATTTACTTCTTGAAAGCTATGTAACTGCTGCTGGTTTTGAAAATGATATGCAGCTAACAAGCTAAGTTTTTCCCATTACGGAATTTTATACGCAACAAGAAAGAGCACACAGAACCCTATGCATTGCCAAGGAAAACTATTCTTAGTGACTATCAGAGCTAAAAAATGATAGAACTCACATATCCAGTAACAATCATGAACCTGACAAATCAAGCTTGTAAGCCTGTGGTGTGATCTGAAAACCTAAAAAGCTTCCAAGAAAGATCTCTGGTTTAAAAACTTTTTTTCCCCCCCTCTGGATTTTTATTTTTTAAGAGATGTGCAAGACTGAACAGCATGAGAGCAGCATGAGGATGGCTGTGCCATTGAAGGGATGTATTTATATATTATGTAGCTGTGTTCCAATTCTGAAATTGATCCATGGATAAAAATCCCTTAAGGGTTGCTATTAATGAG